ATTCCTATGTCTAGGGCAAGGGATGCTCTGTATTCTTGGTGCTGGGAGGGGGGACAGTGGGAGGGCTTCTGGTGTTCTGGCCCCACTGCTGGACCTCCTGATGGCATCTGGTATCTTTGGCTGATGTGTGACACAGAGTGTTGGACTGGATGGGCCACTGGCCTGATCCAGCATTGGCTTCTCTTATGTTCTTATGTCTGGGGCAAGGGATGCTCTGTATTCTTGGTGATTGGGGGGGGACAGTGGGAAGGCTTCTGGTGTCCTGGCCCCACTGCTGGACCTCCTGATGGCCCCTGCGTAACAGAGTGTTGGACTGGAGGGGCCATTGGCCTGATCCAGCATTGTCTTCTCTTATGTTCTTATGTCTGGGGCAAGGGATGCTCTGTACTCTTGGTGTTTGGAGGGGACGACAGTGGGAGGGCTTTTGGTGTTCTGGCCCCACTACCGGACCTCCTGAGGGCACCTGGTATTTTTGGCTGATGTGTGACACAGAGTGTTGGACTGGATGGGCCACTGGCCTGATCCAACATGGCTTCTCTTATGTTCTTATCTGCTCAGTTACTAATGTACAAAAGTACTAATGGCAGTATAGCTTGTAACTGGATGATTCAGAAACTTCCCCAGTTTCCTTCAGATTCTTTAAATGTTTTAGTTTCTTACTAGTAAGATATAGCTTAGGAAGCAGAGTTCTCTGTCGAGTTGCCAACCTCCAGATGGTGCCTAGAGATCTCCCAGAATTACAGCCAATCTACAGATGTCAGTTCCCCTAGAGCAAATGGCTGCTCTGGAGAATGAACTCAATGGCATTATATCCCACTGAGGTCCCTCCCTCACAGAACTCTACCTTCCTCAGGCCCACCCCCAAATGTCCATAAACTTCTCAAGCTGGAGTGGATGCCCACAGATCTATGAATAGCTAACACGAACTTGGGGTGTATCAGCAGAAGCATAACATCCAGATCACAAGATGTCGTAGTCCCGTTGTACATTGCATTGGTCAGGCTGCACCTAGAGTATTGTGTGCAGTCCTAGGGGTCTTACTTCAAAAAAAGGATGTGGACAGAATGGAGCAGGTACAAAGGAGAACAACAAGGATGATCAGGGGCCTGGAGACCAAGCCCTGTGAGGAAAGGCTGAGGGACTTGGAATGTTTAGTCTAGAGAAGAGGAGATTGGGGGGGGGGCATGATTGCTCTCTTTAATTATTTGAAGGGCTGCCACTTAGCGGAGGACAGGGAGCTGTTCCTGTTGGCAGCAGAGGATAGGACTCGCAGCATTGGGTTTAAATTAAGGGTGGGATGGTACCGGCTGGATATTAAGAAAAACGTCTTTACAGTAACAGTTGTTCAACAGTGGAATCAGCTGCCTAGGGAGGTGGTGAGCTCCCTCTCACTGGCTGTCTTTAAGCAGTGGCTGGACAAACACTTGTCAGGGATGCTCTGGGCTGATCCTGCATTGATCAGCAGGCTGAACTAGATGGCCTGTATGGCCCCTTCCAACTCTGTGATTCTATGATTCTATGTCAACCCTAGTTTTTAAATCTGGGAAGTTCCAGAGCTGATCATGCTCATAGGAATAACATCCAGCTGTAATGCTACTTTGAATTATTTACTGTTCATGGCCATCTGTTGCTGACTGACATAGCTCTGTATTATCTTTATTTCATTGGGTATGGGGATTTTTTAAAATGCTCTAGAGCCGTTCTATGTAATATGCAAATGCTAGACTACAAGAAAGTATTGAAGTTCCTATAGTCACCTGCATAAGTAAATATGAATGCAAACAATTTATATGAGTAGCTTAACTTGGGATATATCATAGCATATATATCATGACTGTAGCAGCTCCTTCCCTCACTAGAAAAATTGCAGCATGCTGTTGAGATCATTCATGATTACCTGTCAGGCATTATGCTTCTCTCATAATTATTTGCACATGTCTTTGCCATTCTGAGCCATATCCCTGCAAACTGAAAAGGGAGGGATTATATTTTGGAACTCTCCCCTGCATAAAAAGCTTCCTGCATTTAATATACAGCTGGAAGTTCAGTTATCTAAAACATATGGTTGCCACTGAATACCAGTCATGTGCTTGGTTTCCCCTCTTGCTCTGTAACATTCAGTATTCCTTATATCGCGATGGCACAAGGTTGTTCCTCCTCCACATCAATGGTTTTTGCAGATAGAGATAGCAAAACCCATCATATCATCATGACAGTTGCATTAAATGTTGCATAGGAAAGGGGGATAATTTGACATATGGCTGCCATTTGGGGCTGTATCCCTGCATTTAAGGTAGTATAGTCATGTCCTATGGAGAAAAAGTGCTACGCTATACCTCTTTTATCGAGCAGCTAATTTCTATCTGCAGGTAGAATTATCTGAAGAAATACCCAACCTGCAGACTGAAGTCATACAGCAAAACTTCTCTGCCAGTTAACGTTCTGCATTAAACAGAATTTTAAAAAAGTGATCTGGACACGTGAAATTTACTTATGTATGTGGGATATTTACCATCAACACACCAGGAAGTCATATTTTACATACTACTGATGCATGCACAAGAGCCATATTCTGATGTCTGTGAAACCTCACTTGTCTAAGGATTTTGTTTATTTCCTTGAATGATTTTTGCACGTCATAATTAGTAATAAAAGCAAAGTGAGATACCCATTCAATATAAACATTTTTTTACATTTGGTAGGTGTAATTTAAAAATACTTAGTTAATAGCCTTAAGTATTATATTTTGCTTTTTATTTTTTTAAAAAAATACAAAATAATCTATAGCATTACTTTGAATCAGTCCTTGATGAGTTGCTGGTGGGAATGAAGGTAATTTTTCTAATTGTCTTGCTTTCAAGCACAAGTCATATAACTTGTTAGCTAATAGATAACATTGAGGAAACATAAAGGAAAAATCTTCAAACATATTTGCTTCTATAATAAGTGTTCTGTACAGGATATGTATTTAATTCTAAACCACATCATATATTTGTTCAGTGCTGTAAAAGATCCCTTTTCCATAGCTACATCTTGCTTTTTCATTAAGGTTGTGTTTATATCTTTTATATACGTAATTGTTTTAAGGAAAATAAGGAGATCTTACTAATGTAAGTTCAATGCTTTTCTTCTCTTAACTTTTTCTTCCAAAGAAGCAAAAGTTAAGCAAAAGCTTTCCATGACTGCTAATATAGTTTGCTACCACTAACCCAGGAAATGCTTGGTATCTTTCCTTTTGCAATATAGTACACAACTGAAGATTTAATGGAATATGACTATGACTATGGGGATCCAGATTATAAAGATTATAAAGAGCCTGATACTGTAACAGAAGGACCCCCACTATACGACGAGACAGTGGCACAAACGGAGGTAATGACATCTGGTGTGTGTTTTATGTGCCGTCCGTCCCTGTCACCTGTCATGTGGTGTGGTTTTGTTGTGTAGTGTCTCATGTCAATTAAGCTCATCAATCTTTTGCTACTCTTCCTTTCCTGTTTGCCCAGGGACTCATTTTAATCCAGCAGGAGAAGACCAGAAGAATGGCAGCAGTTTGCTCTTTTTTTTTCTTACTCTGCTTCCTTTCACATCTTACTGCTTTTTCCTTTTCATTTATTTATGTTTTCCCATTCCATCTTTCACCACTTTTTTCAGAAAAAGAAATCCAAAGCCCCAAAGAAGAAGAGGACAGTGGCCGCTAAGTCAAAGAACAACCCCCAAAAGTTCACACTCAAAAAATCTGAAACATTTTCATCTAAGAAGAAGAAAAGCTATCAAGCAACAGCAACAGGCAAAATAGGGGTAAAGGTAGCCGAGAAATAATCAAGATCTTTCCTTGACCAAGCCTGGAAGATCTCTGATAATGAGAAATGAATAGCTCTAACCCCCAGTAGATGAATACAACTCTGGCTAATACCATAACCTATTTAAACAGAAATTCCTCCTGGATGTCTGCCTTTTCCCCTCTGTGGTTAACGTTGCATTTCCTCTTTCATATTAGGCCAACATTGTTGATGGATATCATGAATATAATGTGGCTGAAACTGACTATGGGACTTCAGAGGGCTACCAGACTGCGACTCCTAGTCAGACGACAGGACCAAATGAGGTAATGAGGAATGGAAAATATGCAGGCAAGGATATTTCAAAGACCTTAGCCCATAATTAATTATTACCATGCCGTAATTAATTGCCCTTCTTTTGTTTTAAGAGAGCCCCTAAGGAGCAAATGGTTTGTGGTATGTTTCTATCTATATGTTAATCAGTTTTGTGGTGACATCTGGACTCTGCCCTCTCAGTTCTTACTACGGAAGTGTCTTAAAGAGATTGCAAAAATATGTTCTCTAGAAATTCCATTGTATACATTTTAGTTTGTTATGCAGCATTGGTTTAGTGCTATTGAATCAGCAGATTTATGATTTCCCTGGCTTGAGGAAAAAGGAAGTGTTCACCCTCAATCAACACTGAAACTGAGTAGGGTCTTAGCTAGACACAGTCCCTCATTTAAGGGGAAAGAATATTATGAATGATTGGTGACAGAGGATAAAAAGAAATCTGCATCTCTTGGGAGATGTGGTCTTGAATGGTACTCTTGCAGTCCAATTCTAAGCATAGTTATATCTTTCGGTGAACATTGAAGTCAGTGGGTTTAGAAGGTTGTTACTCTGCTTAGAATTGTACTGTTTATCCCCCATCCTACTGGCAGTGCCTTTAACCATTTCCTTGACAAATGATGACCCTAATCCAGATATAGTCATGCATGACTGTGTGCACGCAATCCAAATGTTGTTGGGATAAGCGTTCCTGTTGCAATCTAGGTAGAAACCTACATGCTATACATACCACATAGTGAATGGGGATTGCATTGGAAGCTTCGCTTTTGGATATGTAGCACAACATGGATGAGTACACAGATGACCACCCATCTATATCTGGTCTGTGCATGTAGAATCCATGCACAGAAGCAGTTTTCACATGCAGATCTCGCTTACAGGATGTCTGCATATCAACTGACATGGATTGGAGTCTCAAATACGTCTCACTTTGAACATTTATTGGAAAATGAATCTCTGTTTGCCACTTTTACATCTGTTTAGTTTTGGTATATGTAACCAACTACCATTTCTGAGTGTGCTTCATAAATAGTGGAGTGCACTTTTTAAGCCATGATATCCAAACAATGGCTTTGCATTATGTGGAAAGTATATTTATTTTGGAGCCTGATTTACTCCTTGTGTAAATGCTTGCACTTTGCAGCCAGATAATGGGAAACGACAAAGGATGATTACATTTAAATCATTCCTTTCATGCACACACAAATTACCCTAGGTTTCAATTTATAGTAAAAAGTGAAGTTTATCTTTAAATGTTCTTTTCAGTCACATACTAGTACTTAAAAGATGTACAAGATCTTGTTCTGTTTGCAGAACTACAATGTAAGTATGAACTTGGAAGGAGATACTGTGATTGCATACGCGTCATGACTAATCTGATGCTTTGATACATAGTTCTGTGTGTGTGCATAAGTGCACATATGGAGCTCCCCCCTCATGGCTTCCTCATTCTTACCATTGGAGGTAGCTGCTCTGAACATGTGTTCCTTTTCTGTGTAAGTTATAGTATGTGGTGGTAAGATAATGGAGAGCTCCCACTTTTACCATGTCTAATAGCCTCTTTCTAACAACACAGTTGTACTTCTGGTACAACTCCCATTCATTTCAATGGGCTCTCAGAGATGGTATTTCCAGCAGATTATGCTATGTGATCTATAACTGTTCTCCTCTAAAACATCTCTATTCCCATAATGCAGCAGAAATCAATTTCCACCAAAAATATTTTTGTACATCTAGGATAAAATGCTGCTGTGATAACTCTGGTACTTAAAAGCTGAAGGCTTGACTTCACATGGTTTTCATAAGTCAAAAATTAAAATCTAGAGGCAATATTGAAACATCAAATGTTATTTTACTCATCATCTTATATGGACATTATATATAAAATCAATGTTAAACCTTTCCTCCCAGAAGATAACAATTGACATGTATAAACAATACAATGTAATGAAATACCATCTCATTCTTTACAAAAGAAATTGTCTTATTTCTTCTTCTTAATTGACATGAGATATGTTTATCATATCAGCTAAAGCAATTTTAACACACAGTAGATAAGGCAGTATTATTAATCCCTTAAACTTGGTAGTGTCCAGTTAATTTGTATGATTGATATTAAAAAGTGTAAAACCAAGTATAAAAGCTTGATATAAGTGGCATAAAAATTAAAATGTTATGCTATCCAGTGTGCTTAGTGAATAACACATGCAACAAAATGCAATGAGTGAAATGCGAATTGGTGAGAATTTTCACTGTTATCTACATAATTTAGTAGCACTAGAGTTTCATTTCTTGATTTTGCAAATGAAAACAAATTTACATTCATGAAAAAGCATTCATTTAATTCATTGTGCATTCTGTATGTGCCTTAGGTGATCTTTTAAAACTTCTGAAAAACTGTTTCCCCAGGATTTCAGAATTAAAAGATGCCAGGCTTTGGTGCTGACATGTTATTTTACCGACCATAACATTCAAAGCTACTGAATGTTTATGTTGCTTTACTAACAGTAATCCACATATTCATCCTGTTCCCCAACCTTTGGTGCTTACGTGAATAGCAAAATCCAGTTGAAGAAGTATTTACTGAAGAATACCTAACGGGAGAGGAGTATAATTCAGAGACTAAAAAAAACGAGGAAAGAGAGTATGGAAGCAGAGGAACAATAGACCACAGTGAATCTGAAGTTCTGGTAGATGGAGATTTAGGCGAATATGATTTTTATGAATATAAAGACTATGAAGAGAAGCCTACAAATCCCACTAATGAGGAGTTTGGGCCTGGTGTTCCAGCAGAGACTGATGTCACAGAAACGAGTGTAAGTTAGCCACATTGAAGGTATTCTTTAAATATGCTGTATGGTTAGTAGCTGATTATAGCTCTTTTTGTTTCCTATGTTCTATGGGCTAGAGTCACAGCAGCAATAGGAAGCCTTCTGTTGCTTTTTAATGCAATTTGTTTTCTATTGCACAAGTAGAAGAAGATGTGGGAAGAAAGGGATACATTAAAAAAAAGTTGTGTGGCTTCAAAAGTGAAATTGTGTGAATGTTAATGATTTGATATGAAAGTCTATTCAGAATTTTCTCTCTCTTTATATTGTAACTCTAGAGGTAATGGAAAGGATTTTGCTAAACTTCATTTAGTATGGCCTAACTTGTAACTCAGCAAACTAAATAAAGGTATCAATCATGTATGGCAGTTCACCAGGGGCTAGCTGACCGAGTGTAATAATGGTGTTTCAAATTCGACATAAAGTGTCAACTATGCTTGGCTGTGCACAGGACTGCCTGAAAAGATCAACGTAACTGTGAATCTGGAGAAAGAGATTCTTAGATTCAGTATGACTATCTAGATTCCCCTAGCTATCTGGGTACAATTGTCAATCAATAGTGCCTATGTCTCAAGGTATTTAAAATCCATACACAAGAAACAGACATTTCAAGGGATTGGTTGGGTAAGACCCTTGGGACTGAAGACCTAGAATTTTACATTGTAAACTAGTATCTCAGTATCTCATTTCAGATGTCACATGTAACTATGGTTTACCTATAATTGCTGTGATTTTTCTGAGTGCAGGTAACTCCACTACTGATGGCTAGTTAGGTTTCATCAAACCGGGTCTGATGCCAATTTATTAATGAACTTAATTTATGAAACAATTAGTCTTAAATATGGTTTTGTGTGATGTCTTAATGGTTTGTTCTCTGTCGACCCCCATCCCAGGCAAGAGAGAGAAGGAAATGCAATGAGTATTTGTCAAAGCAAATGAGGATTTAAGTGGTTGTCTGTGTACTGAATCTCAGTTTCACAAACTAACCGTAGTTAAAATAAACCATGTTTTTGCATTATGCCTGAGTTCTGTGTGCATTTAATCCCAGAGACAAGAGCGGTGCTATCACACATGGTCTGGTTTAAATCTCTTCTTCCCATTCATCAAGGTTGGCATGCATAGAGTTGTAGTTGTAGCTGGATTTCTGGAAAGTTTGGTGACAAGTACAGAATGAGACACTGAACTGAGTATCTGTCTTTTTAAAAAGATTCCAACTTCGAAAGAGCTTGTGGCTACACTCTTATCACTCTCCTCTAAGCTTAGGGATTTGTAACCAGATCAGAGAGGTGAGATTCCTCACTTGTCAGTGTTGGCTTCTGAAAATCATATGAAAATGTAATACTGCAGTGAAGGCAGCTCTCATCCAGCACAGTCACGGGTCTTGGCACAATTATTTCCTTTTTTTTTTGGTAAACAAATTTTTATTTTCTCAGGAATACAACATGTAAAATTAAAATCATTTCATTCTATCAATTGTCTACCCCATTCCCAGTTCCTCCTCTCCCTCCAATGGCTTCCCACAATGCTTCCACCCCTGCTCCAGATTACTTCATATCATCAAAAATATCAGTTTCTTATCATTACAATCTAAAGATAACATCATTTGACTTAATATTGATCTAAACATATTAAGTTTTGTTTCACATCCCAGTTCTTTTCCAGATATATTTTAAAGTCACTCCATTCTGGCACAATTATTTCCTGATTTCTATTCAACCAGAGGACCAAAAAAACCAAAAGGAGGGTTTGCTGAAGCTTAATTCAGAGAACATAAACAAAACAAACCTTGTTCATACCAAACATGGACCTGCCTCTCCCTTCCTTCCTCTCCTTCCTTCCTCCCTCCTCTCATATGGTGTGTCAAATTTGAGAATGGAACTCTTCAGCTAACTTCAATTAGTGATTGTCCAGATGCGGGTATGTGAACAAATTGTTAGGTTCATTTCTTTCCCAGTAACTTGACTGAACCTAATTCAGAATCCCATGTAAGAGGGAACAGTAGATTTCACTTTTCATTTTCTTTCCTGCATTAGTCCTGTGACATTCTGACCTAGGTATGCTTAAACCCACTGTAACCAGCAACTTGAAGCATCCGTAGCCTTGTGTTATGTTTGTAGCCACTTGAAGCTGAGTTTAGTTAAAGGTGGCCAAATAGATTACAGTCTCCATGTCCAGAATGATCCAACCCCCTCATTGATGGTTGGATGTTGTAATGTAGTTGGCATAATCTGTGGAGCTAAGCTTTTAACAAACTAAGTTTTTAACAAACAGGAGCTGCAGGAAATGGATTTTCAAAAATGAAACGGGCTTTGAGCACCACTGTGGGGGAAGGAAAGGCTCCTGCCTTCTTCCACAAGACATTTTCCCATGCCAAAACAGTGCTGGGGGGAGTTATTTCCCTGTTTTTCCTACTGTATGTGCACAGAATACTTTCCTTTTTTTTGGTCAGCTCAGATGAAATTGCTGCATCCAACCCATGTGCTGCTGATTGCTCATCCCTGATTTTACAATGTTGTTAAGGACCAGGTCAGTTTACACTGACATAGTCTGGGCCTTTTTGCCAATCATGGATATGTAGCCAGATCAGAGAGGTGAAATCTAAGGGGTTGAATGTATGTATGGGCAGGAAGCTGTGCAGATTGAACATGATGAGTGGTAAAAAGGTAAAGGTAAAGGTTCCCTTGCTCGAAAGCCAGTCGAATCTGACTCTAGGGTTGCAGTGCTCATCTCTGTTTCAAAGCCGAAGAGCCAGCGCTGTCCAAAGACGTTTCCGTGGTCATGTGGCTGGCATGACTAAACACCAAGGCGCACAGAACACTGTTACCTTCCCACCAAAGTGGTACATATGCACAGTTCATTGTACACATACCAACAGCTTATGCTCATGGTACTGTGATCATATGATTGTCTCACATTAAATACATGCACCAAAATGGAAGAAATGTCTTTGCATAAACAATAAGCTTAGGCAAACAGAATATGTTTGTACTGATTGAAATTAGCCCAATGTGCAGTTGTTTGAATTTGGCCCCTAGAAGAGTAATTTTCAGGGTTTATGTTTTTAACTGAAAAAATGGACTCTAGGTGTTTCATCAGCTTTCCCAGCCATTGTAGCACTAAACAGTATGCAAAGAGATATTTCTTGAAAAAGATTCTCTCTCTCTCTGCTATAGTCACTGGTTTGGACTATGGTGTGTATGTTGATTCTGCTGTGCCATTTGGACAAAATCCCTGTAAGCTTGGGGAAATATCTTTACTGACTATCCAGAGGGAAGTGATATACAAAATGGAAATTAATATCCTATCGTTGCAATTGAAAACAGAGGGGCGGGGGTTCCTGAGAACTGAAGGCAGATGGAAAGCAATATTCTATCTGTAGGATTTACATTCATCTTTGGTAAATAAATTATTTCAGGTTTTTTAACCATCAAAATATATTTGACTGTTGGATAAAAAGAAATGTGTAGCCCTTCAAGCCACTTTCTTTCCTTGCAAAATATTGATTTGTCTCCAGATGGATGGAAAACAGATTTTAGACCTGACTGAATTTCTAATGTATGTTGACTTGGCAGGTGAATGGTCATGGTGCTTATGGAGAAAAAGGACAGAAGGGCGAGCCAGCTGTGATAGAACCTGTGAGTATTTTAGAGGCTAGCTGTTGCAAAGTTTTGGGGGTCATTTCTCATATGGTTCTCCATCTTTTGATGACTGAATTGGTAACTTGGGTGTGTCAGTGAAGAAAAAGGGAGCTGCACCAAGAGAAGCCATGAGACACCAAACTTCACAGAAAGTTCACATAACCTTATGTTGCTTCAGACATAGTTCTTTTTTCAGTGAAGTCCATTCACACATTAAGCTACGGGTCAGCAGATATCGAGAAGTCAAACTGGGTTTGTATTGGTGGATACTAGGGTGTGCATTCAGATCTATCCAAGTTGGGAAAATAGCCAAAAAATACCTTATCACTATTTTTCCGACTATTCTTTCAGCCAGATATAGAGAGGGCTGTATTTTCGGCTGACCACCATAGCCCATCCCGGATAATCCTGAAAAATATTGGGATTATCCAGGAAAGCAGGATAGCTGCAGTTAAACAGTGTTAAACAGCATTAAAAATACCCCAGTCCCTTTAAATGCCATTTGGGGTGAAGCTGCAGCTTCACAAATGCATTTAAAGAGACTGCAACACTTTTAAATACCTCCAGCTCCATTATAGCCTATGGTCCTGGGGAGCTGGTTTTTGAGGTAGAAGCACCAATTTTTCCGTGTAGCTGCAGGCGCCTCTTCTCAAAAAACCACCCAAGTTTCAAAAAGATTGGAGCAGGGAGTCCAACTATACAGGCCCACAAAGAAGGTGCCCCCATCTTCCATTGTTTTCAATGGGAGAAAAACAGCAAAAAAAAGAAAGGGCTGATGTTAAACCAGAGAGTCTCTGCAGTAGATATTGGAGGTGGTGGAGAACTGGGTTTTGCTGGGCTTGCAAAAATGCTCCCCACCTTCAGTTTCTGCTGCAGAGATTCTCTAATTTGACATCAGTCCTTGCTTTTTTGCTGTTTCCCTCCCATCAAAAACAATGGAGAATGGGGCACCTTCTTTTGGGGCCTATATAATTGGACCTCCTGTCCCACTATTTTTGAAACCTGGGGGTTCTTCTGAGGAGAGGCAGCAGAAGCTATGCTGAAAATTTGGTGCCTCTGCCTCAAAAAAACAGTCCCCCAGACCCCTGGATAGATTCCCCATTGACAATATAATCCCATAGGGTATAATGAAGCCAGAAAAAAAATGGGATTCCTGAAAAAAGCTGTATCTAAATACCATACTGGTATTGGAATTTGGGTTGGGGGGCATCTGGATTTTTTGTGGGGTCCAACATACCTGAATCCAACCCCCCCCCCAGTTTTTTGTGTGTACACACCTAGTGGATAAGATGACTGTTGTCAGTTACTAATTGATGACTTACCAGGATAGAATAGACATGCACCTATGTGGGAATCTGGTTGTCTCTAGTCTGTGGAAGATAATGCAAACCATACTTGTTAACCCAGCTAAAAATCTGGGAAAGCAAATGGCTGGTAAAATTATCATCAGAAAAACTGTGAGATTGCTGCAGTTGCTTAAGAAAGCCTCTCTCACACTTTGGGCAAAATATGCTGATAAAGATTTATGTTCATTATATATGATGACAGGACTAAAACAGCTGATCAGTCACAGGCCCACCATGAAACATGCTGTCAATAATAAGGAGAGAAATTTGCACTGAAGTTGTCCTACAAAATGTCTAGCTCTCATAACTGCTGTAATGGTCCGGCCGGGAAGTATGTTTCCCCCGCCGGATCACGGTAAGTACTTGGGAACCCTACTCTCTTCCCTCATTTGGAGAGAGGGAGGGAGGGGGAGGAAAGAGAGAGAGTGCACAAGTGTCACGGCTCAGGTGGGGTGTCACCTGACGCTGCCACCACTCTGGTTCTAGGCTCCCTTGAGGAGGCCCAGAGCACCCTCCCAAGACCCTCTGTCCTCCCTTTTGGCCGAATAATAGGTGTGAGGACCAGTCAGAGTGAAACAATGAAAATAATTTATTTTATAGGAGGTCAAACAACAAGGTGCAGAATAATAATAGTAATTGGGTGAAAAGAAAAGAAATCAAATGCCCTAAAGCATCTAAATATATACTGTCCCTAGCTCACTATTTCAGGTGGCACTAGACTACTCATCCTTCCTTCAGGATGAGCGTCTCTTCCCCACAGCAGCCTCTCCTGGCCCTGTTCCCTGGGAAGAAGAACAACTTTTCCTGCTGCACCAGATCTTTTACTCCAAATTGGTCAATTTTGGCTCCTAAACCTCTCAGGGGCTTCTAGGAGTTGTAGGCCCAGCCTCACCTACTGCTAGCCAGGCTCCCTGGGCCTAGTAGGCCTCTGGTGGCACAGCCCAGATCATGACAACAAGAAAGAGAGAGAGTCCTTTAAGACCACCTTTAAGACCAACTAAATTTTATTCCAGGTATAAGCTTTCCTGTGCATGTGTACTTGGGGGGGTGGGGGTGGGTGATTCTTCCTACAAGCACTGCTCTGCTGTTTATTTTGAGTCCTGATCACACACCCATGTTAAAAAAGAAAAGGCAGTGGGAAAAATATGCATCTGGGATAAGGGGCAGGGGTCATTTCCTGCCGGAGCGCCCCAGAGTAGCACGTTCTTTCCATTATATTCTGTGGCCCCATAGAATACAGGGGCGGCACCGCAGGGGTGACTTGATCTTTCCATTGTATTCTATGGCCCCATAGAATACAATTGAAGGATCGTGCCACCGCTGTGGTGCAGCTCTAGAGAGAAGGGGTTTAAACTTTAAACTCCTTCTCTCTTCGCTTCAAGGCAGGCTGGGGGGGAAGCGAAGCGAGAAGGGGTTTAAAGTTCACTTCCCCCCCCAGCCCACCTTGGCAGGCCGGCTGGAGAAGCAAAAAAGGGGGGAGGCATCTTCAAAAGCCTCCCCTTCCCTTCCCCAGCCAGCCTGGCAAGGTGGGCTGGGGGGGGGAGCGAAGAGAGAAGGGGTTTAAAGTTTAAACCCTTTCTCTCTGGACTCGCGCCGTAGTGGCAGCGCGATCTTTCCATTGTATTCTATGGCCCCATAGAATATAATGGAAAGATGACTTCTCTCTTAGCTTC